GATCTCAAGTTTATTTAAAAACATTACTTAAATGAATAAACGAGCACCACATACAAATAATAACCATTAATTGTCATAACCAATTCCCAACAATTCTTTCGGTAGGTGGCATACTTTGTGGTAACCTCCACCCCCATTTTAGGTCACCTTTGATTTTCAAACATCCTTATCGGAAACCTCTTGAAAATGGATGAATNCTAAAACCATTCATATCATGAGAGCACTAATATAATCCCTTAAAAAACAAAACTTCATTTGTCATCCATGAATATTTACAACATTATCCAAAAAGAATAAGCCTAAATCATGGCTATTACATCTCAAAAATTNCATGGAACTTCTCACCAATCACTACATTATTTCTCAAGCATCTTTACCGGGAACCTCTTGGGAAGGGGTGAGCATCCTTACAAGGAACCTCTCACTCATGTGCATCACAAACAACCCAACCAAGCATACAATTCCAACATTTATCTCAATTTACAAGCATCTATCCAAAATCCCCAAAATATATCATATAACAATTCCACAACCAACTAAGAAAATACATGAGATCACAATAACATCATTTTTCTACCCAACACAAAGCACTAAGGTTTCGAAATCCATAATAAAGAAAGCATTTAGGAAGGAAATACATCACTCTCCAAAAATTAGGGTTTTAAAACTAGAAAGGAGATTTCATGGGTATTAAACCCTACTTTGTTCAAAACATGTAATCCTTGCAAAAAGCCTAAGAGAGGATGATTCCATAGCATATATATACCATTGATAGCCAAAACATACATATATAAATACCCTATCCCTAATGTAAGTGAAAGAGAGAAAACCCCTACCTTGAATCCTTAGCTTTGGAGTGAAGAACGAGAATATTTGATCTTGAATCACCCTTGAATCTCTTGTTTTTCCCTTCCTTTCTTCTTCTCTAATGCCCTCTAGGGTTTCAAGAGGTGTGGGGGTGTGAGGGGAGTGAAGGAAATGAGAGAAAATAAGATGAAAATGGGATTAAAACATAGTAGCCCCGAAAAATACTGTTCAGAGGCTGTTTTGAATTTCTCCAAATTTACGNTTGATTTAGGATGCAAATAGAGACATTAAATGCAAAACGAAGCTAATTGGACTATTTCAACATCATTTCGTTATCTGAGCATAACTCTCTCATCCAAGCTCTGATTGAGATAATTCAAGATGCTATGGAATAATACGAAAGAGTTATAAAACTTTCATTTTTTAGTTTTGAGAGATATTGACTGCATCAAGGTCTAAATCGAGCTTGAAGTTGCAATAGTGCACTGTTCACGTGCACTGTTCATAGTCTGTCTTCGTCCCTTTTTCATTTCCAATCCATTTTTAAGCCAACCAAATCCATCCCAAACCTCTCCAACACATATTTCTACACCAAACCTATTTAATACAAGTTCTAGGACCTAAAATTTCATATTTTCACTTATTAAAACCAAATTTCAACTATTATTTTCACTAACATTTTAAATCTCTACTTTTCCAATCTACCAAATTCAAACACACATCACTACATATATCCACATTTTTTTTACCACAATTATTTACTATATATCTATATACATATATAAAAGAAAATGCGGGGTGTTACAATCTCCCCCCCTTAAAGAAAGTTTCGTCCTCGAAACTTACCTCAAGTAGCGAACAAATATGGATACTTCTCCCGCATTTCTTGCTCCGGTTCCCATGTAGCTTCCTCCACTCCATGGTGTTGCCACAAAACCTTCACCAATCTGATAACTTTGTTGCGAAGCACTTTTTCCTGGGCGTCGAGAATTTCTACCGGTTGTTCTTCGTAGGTTGCTCCGTCTTGAATTTCAATCTCCTCCAAGTTCACGACTGGAGTTGCATCCGAGTGACACCTTCTCAACATGGACACGTGGAACACATCATGTACTCCGGATAGCTGGGCTGGTAGTCGAAGTTGATATGCCGCCTTGCCTACCGCTTTGATTACCTCAAACGGTCCGGTATATCTTGGCGCTAACTTCCCCTTCTTGCCGAATCGAAACACGCCTTTCTTGGGTGACACCTTGAGAAATACGTAGTCTCCCACCTTGAATTCTAAGGGTCTTTGTCTGTGGTCCACATAGCTCTTCTGTCTACTTTGCGCCGTCCGTAGCCTCTCTCGGATGA